GCCCGGGAGGAGGCGGCGGCGGCCCGGCCCATGCCGCAGCTCTGTTTTCTCCCCTGCAGGCTCCTCGCGGTTTGCTCCGGCGGTTACACAACACGCCCCGTTTTTTAAAGGAACGGCCGTTGTTAACGGAGAGTTCAAGGAGCTGAGCCTGGATGATTTCAAGGGGAAATACCTGGTTCTCTTCTTTTACCCCCTGGACTTGTGAGTGCGGGTTTCTCTCCTTGCAGATGGGCCTCCCGCCTGGCTGAAGGTCATCAGAAGCGCTGCACATCGTTGCTGTCTAAAAACTGGCTGGTTCTACCTTATTTGGGCTAATCTTGTAAGGCAGATGTGGCTGTTTCTAGAGTGTGAGTGATAAGACTTGGGGGGCAGATGGCCATTGTGTTCTAAAGCAATGGGCCTGGTGGCTGCAGAGCATCTTCTCCCTGCTGGGATTGCTTCAGGAGGTAGATGTGGCCTTGCAGGTGTGATTCCTCGTACAGTCAGAGCCCGGGATGAGGGTTCTGCCTTGCAGATTGGGGTCGTGTTGGAGACTCTCTCCATTTAAGCAGTAAGGCCAGCAGAACTGCAGCTAGACAGCTCCGAAGCAAAAGGTGAATAAATGAGGTTGAGCCTGTCCAGCAGATGGATCGCCAAGAGCAACCTTGTGTACGTGGGCACGTGGGGGAGGATTTAACCTGCAGTCCTTTCTGCTCTAGTTTCCAAAAACACTCTGTCTAGAGAGTGTCTTTGCAAAAATCTGTCTAGAACTAAGAGTTTAAAACCGTTGAAAAACTGTGCCAGCTAGTGGCTATGGCAGCTGCTCTGAGACTGACTGGTTAATCTTGAGCAGGAAACACAGATAAAATTACCAGGCTAAAGAAAACTCTCTGCTGCATTAGTGCATAGAAACAGACATGAGTGTCTTTTCTAAAAAATTATCTGAAAAGATTAGAGAATCATTACAGCCTGTTCTCTCTTCCCACCCAGCACCTTTGTCTGCCCCACAGAAATTGTGGCTTTCAGCAACAAAGCAAATGAATTTCGTGATGTGAACTGTGACGTTGTGGCAGTTTCTGTGGATTCTCATTTTTGTCATCTGGCCTGGATAAATACGCCACGAAAGGTACGAATTGGGCAGCTGTTTGAGTCTTTCTCTGTTGATTTGTTTTCTTTTCACGGGAGTTTCTGAGAAGGATTAAATAAACAGTTGTGCGATCACCAATTTGAATAATTGCTTAATGTGTTATGTGATTAACTGCTACATTTGATGATATAATTTAACCTCAATCTTTGTTTTTCTTGCTCTTTTCCTTAATAATTTGGGATTTTTTTACTTTGTTTTGCTCTCTTGATAGTCTTGTGTTTTACATAATGTTTACCTTCAAAGATGAATGCTCTATACATGTCACTGTCCTAAATTGCGTGTTAGAGCTGATGGTCTGTGTGCACCATCGGAGAAATTGGACACCAGCTGTTTAGTCATTATTGTTAACCCATACCTAACAGTGGTGGCTTCAGAATGGAAGCAGAAGAACCACCAGTTTATTATTAACTGACTTGCTGAAATGGTTCCACTTTTGCAATACAAACAGAGCTCCTCAGCTTTCTTCGGGGAAAGAAAGTGATAAAGACGGCCTCTTACTGGTGAGGAGCCTCTTTCAGATGTATATAAAACCACGTGCTTTTGATGACGTAAAGCCTGTCACTAGTTTGGCTAGTTGTAGAGAATCAGAAGTGTCATAGAAGGTGTGGAAGCACCAGTGCCATCCATCAGTCATTCTCCGTGTGGTCGTGTGGCCAGCGGTCTGCAGTAGTGCTCACAGACTGGGAGGCCTTCAGGTGTGTAGTTCAGCTCTTGGGACATACAGGGGAGAGAGGAGAGTTTGCTGGATTTAATATGGCTTGGGTGAGTCTACTAAGAGTATTTAACTTTCTTCATGCTTTGTTTAAAGCCCTAAAATGTGACCGTGGACTGACTTCACCACTTGATGCAAAAGCTGTTGAGTGTGTGCCACTCGGGCACCGCTCAGTTCTTGTGTAGCAAAACGCCCTGGAAGGGGTGGAAATAATTCTGTGGTGGCACAGGCAGGAAACTGTCACCCAGAGAAGCAAAGGCCTTGGTTTGGCTGAGAGCTGTGCTCAAAGCTCAGTGTATGAGAACTCTGTTGCAGGCATGCGTTTGCAGGATCAGGGTCTGAGTGACTGAGATTACACAATGATTCACTGATGATGCCAGGAATAGAAAAGCTAACAAACTCCAGGCTTGTTTCAAGGGTAGAGAGCTTATCTCTCTTGCAGTTCCACTGTGTGGCAAAACTGAAAGAAATCTTGGTTGACTCTCCAAATAGTACTTAAATTTATTTGGGGGAGGAAAAAATAATAAATGCACTAAATAGAGAGAGCAGCAGACCTCTGACATACCTAGTGTGGCTGTTAGAAACTTTGTTTTTTGTCCAGTCATAGTTCGCAGGTTTGGTTTCCTTTCCCTCCCCACTGTGTTAATCTTGTTTAATTTTGATCATTTTAAATATTCAGTAGAAATTTTTGTATTCAAAGCTCCTGAATAGGATACAAGGGAAATCTTTCTGAAAATTTATGACTGTTGTCATAGGTAGCCTTCTACCACCAAAATAAACAATTCTAAAATGATCGTGCAAAAGGAGTTTTCATGTTCCAAAGAAACCAAATGTTCCCGACTACTTTTAAAAAAACAAACCAAACCCAAGTAAACAACACCACCCCTTGGCCCGTGATTCCTTTCATGGAGCAAATGGCATGAATGTGTTTTGTTGTTAGTATACCTTCAAGAGCACTGAATCCAGCAGCTCAAAGAAGGATAATCATAAAAAGTGTTTTGTAGCAAAATGGAATCTTACTCTGTTCTCTAGAGCGGCGGTTTGGGCAAAATGAATATTCCAGTTCTGTCAGACCTCACAAAACAGATCTCCCGTGATTACGGTGTGCTGCTAGAAGGACCTGGCATAGCACTAAGGTAATGCATGATTGCTGGTAACTCTGTTATGACACAGCCCAGTCTAAACCACCGTGAGCCATACTGTTCCCTCCTGCAGGGGAAACTGCACAAGGATCAAATGAGGACTGTAAAATGTTATTTTTTTTCTGCAGAAATTCTGCTGGATCCCACCCTAGGAAAAGAGCATGTGGCCCTTACGGCCATTAAGTTGAGAATGGTTCCAGGCCCCTCTGAGAGCATGCAGGGGAAAGCCAGCTACTCTGCTCTGAGTGAGTGGAAGAACTCCATGTCACTAAGGAAAACAAGAGTAGGACAGAAGAGCATTTTACAATTTTTTTACATTTTTTCACAATTTAGGCCTGTCCTATTTTCTTTTTTTTTGTTTTTGTTTTCTTTCTTCTGAAGGGAGAAGAGACTGTCTTAACTTCTGTGTGAGAAGTTTCTGAAGCAGTTGTCCTAGAGGCCACTATAGTCAATCCCATAATTATAATAAAAAACCCCAACATTTCCTTCTCCACCATGGGAATACTTACTAAAAGAATAGTGATTCCTGAGAAACATTGGATTGGGTAGGAGTCTTCTGGAGACCTTAAGTTCCTGATCTCTTTGGGTCAGGAACTTATTAATTACTATGATTAAGACTAGGACTTTGTTTTTTCACAAATGTTTATATGCAATAGCTTAATGCATAAGCAGATCTTCACTCCATACTTTCAGATTTTCCTATCAAAAAGTCATGGGAAGGATGCCAGCTATCAACTTTGACATATAGGTGGAATTAGACGTTCTACCTTTGTTACACATCTATCTCAATTTAATAGTCTTTATATATAGTTTGTAATTTCACAGTACTGTACCGGTGGAGTGGTTCTTGGCTTTTGATCACTAAAAGGGAATGTATCAAATGCTGTATTGCTACTCCTGACCACCTGCACCTAAGAATAACTATGTTGCTGAAATGGTTCATCCAGTTTCTTGTGTTTGGTCTTGGAATGTGATTTCCATTCCCTACATTCTTGCTCGATTACAGAGGTCTCTTCATCATTGATCCAAATGGAATCATCAAGCATCTAAGTATCAACGATCTCCCCGTTGGTCGTAGTGTGGAAGAGACCCTCCGCTTGGTGAAAGCATTCCAGTACGTGGAAACGCACGGAGAGGTTTGCCCAGCAAACTGGACTCCAGACTCCCCTACAGTAAGCACCTGCTAAATATCACTTTTCTAAATATAGACAATGGCATATTTCTGCATGTCTGAAGGGCTGAGAACCACTTTAACGTGAGGGGCTTGACTGAATCTGTGCCTGTTGTCTAAATCTGAGGCTTTTACCAGTCGGACAAATTCAGTCTATTTGTATGATACTACATGTGGGATTTCTGTGAAGAAAGCTGCTGGTTTTCTTTTAGAAGACACAAATTGTCTTTAAAACTCTAAATTTAACTTGCACTCTCCACTAGTTGTCTTCAGATTTTTTACTTAATGCTAGCAGAAAAAATATGTTATATACTTAAAATTTGCAAGTAGGAGCTTGTACATTATTTCAGCTTTCATCTTTGAACCACGTGCAGAAATAAAGTTTCTGTAAAGTATGCATGGATTTTCTTGGATAAAGTGTCAAATCTGGATTTTTTTCATCCTTGTTATAGCATATAATAACAAAACTTTCTTTTCTTGACAGATCAAACCAAGCCCAGAAGCTTCTAAAGAATATTTTGAGAAAGTACATACATGAACACTCAAAATATGTGGACAAAACTCTTAGTTACCATACAATGAAGACATTAAGAAAGCAGCTGTGATCATAAAAAATCAAAAATAAAAGTCCTCATTTTCTGATGCTTAAAATGAAATTAAATGTTGAAATATTTACTGACTCCCTTGTCTTCTTTAAAAAGAAGGATAAAAACTAAGGCTTTTTTCCCTCCCCTTTTGCAACCTGTTTCATTAATTTGTGACTATTAATCTTCTTCCTGAATATGTAATAACAGGTACACAAAATACAGTTGTATTCCCACTAGATTTTTCCTCTTTTCATAACTGTTTTGGACCAGAAAGTGTCTGCTGTTTTCTTCTCACAGGAAAAATTAAATTCTGTAAGAAGAGTTTGAAACACTGGCGACAATACAGAAAATAGAATTTTGATACATGGGTTGTTTTAATGAATTTTGCAGAGGAAGAGATGAATGTAACAAAACTTTAAAAATCCCAGGTTTTGTTGTGTAAATGCACTGTAACTTGAAATGAATGTAAACATGTGCCATTTCAATCCTGCATATAGCCAAAGATGCAGTGCAGCTACACAGAAGCATTAGCAACCATGAACATCCAAACTTGAAACCCTATAGTGTACTCACTGCAGCTTAATGACAAGTCTTCTGTCACTTAAAGCATTGTTTATTTGCTTGAATCTCTCTGTTAATACTGCTTGAAAACAATATAGTGTATCTCTAACTGTAATAATAAATCTTAACAGTGGCTAGCAGCAGGTGTGTTGCTTTGCTTTTCTTTCACTTTTTCCCTCAAGATTCCTGTTTCCCTCTTTTTGAAGAAGTTGGGTAAGTTGCATTGCCTTAGAAACTATCTTCTGTACCTTGGTTCACAGCAAGTAGTTAATGGCTGCTACTGCTTTTGTGTGTTTACTGGTGTAGCCAGTAAGTAGTGAGTGTGCTGCTGTGAAGGGCTGGATAAATCGATAGAATACTGAACGGGTTTGTATTTTTCATCTTCTGCCCTTGTGAGCAGGGGAAAGGACTCAGGATAAACAGAAGCACGAGGGAACTGCCTTGGCAAAGTGGCTGTTAATGTCCTAAGAGCTTTATAACAGGTCTCGACGCTACAGTGTAAGTGAAAGGATGAAAAAACCAAGCCTGTGATGCTCCAGGTTTCAGTGCTTGCACACCTCAGTCCCAGCGTTGTAAAACCACTAGTACCCGCGCAATTTTTCTAATAACCCTGATCTCCTGGAACGACAAGGTGTGAAGTTAAACCCCTGCGCAGCTCAGTAATACAAAATAACATGCCAGCGGTGTTGGTGGCAGCCATTCGTGCCTGTGAAACACACTGATCTTTTACCTGGCTGTCTCTTCCTCTTCATCACTTTAAGTGAGAGTGGAGGCGGCAGGGGATTTCTCTGCAGTCCTGCTCCTTGGCTCTGCCTTCCCGGGTCGCGCAGGTGGAAACTGCTGGAAGGGGAAAAGGCGATCGGACCGTTCCTAGCGGCGATCCGCTCCGGCGCCTGCCCTGAGGGGAGCCGCGGCCTGCAGGCCGCGGCCTCCCTCCTCCTCCTCCTGCTGCTGCTCAGGGCGGG